AGAGTACACATAATAAAGTTATATTCATTTGAAAAGAATGAAGATTGATAAACATCATGAGTTATTGCTCACAAAAATCATGAACTTTGAGGTACACATAATCTAGTTACATTTGTTCGAAACAAACCAATATTGACAAAATTCATGAGTTATAGCTTATGAAAATGCGATTTTTGGCGTACACATAATTTATTTATAGTTGTTCAAAGTGAACAAAAATTCTCAAAAATCATGGGTTACAACTCATAATAATCACAAAATTTAATATGCATATAATAAATTTACTTTAACTCCAAACAAACTGAATTTGGTAAAATTTGTGGGGTAGCTCATGAATATCGTGAATTTTTATGCACACATGATTTATTTACATCCGTTCAAAACAAATTAAAATTTTTAAAAATTATGGAATATAGCCAATGGATATTGCAAATTTTGAAATACACAAGAAATTTATACTCGTTTGAAATGAATGCAAATTGATAATTGTGGGTTAGCTCACGAAAATCGTGAATTTAAATGTAGACATAATTCAGTATCATTCAAAACAAACAAATATTGACAAAATTTATGTGTTATAGCTCATGAAAATAGTGAATTTTGATGTATATATAAATTATTTACATTCATTCAAAAGGAAGAAAATTTCTCAAAAATCATGAATTATTATTGTTCATGAAAATCACAATATTTGATGAGCACATAATAAATTACTTTTGCTCGAAGCAAGCCAAAATTGTCAAATTTCATGGGTTATAGGTCACATAAATAGCGAATTTTTACGTACACATGAATTGATTTACACTCATTTAAACTGAACCGAAATTGTCAAAACTCGTGAGTTATAGCCCATGAAAATCATAAATTTTAATAATAAATTTATATTTGTTTGAATAAGTAAATTTTGATTAAAGTTGTTAGTTATTGTTCACAAGAGGCGTGAATTTTAATGTATACAATTTAGTTACATTCATTCGAAACAAACCAAATTGACAAAATTCATAAGCTATAGCTCATGAAAATCGCATATTTTTATGTACATATAATTTATTTATATTCATTCAAAACGAGCCAAAATTTTAAAAAATCATGGATTATATAATCCATGAAAATCGCAAAATTTGAAGTATACATGATAAATTTATATTCATTTGAAACGAACAAAAATTGATTAAAATTGTAAGTTATAGCTCATAAAAATTGTGGCTTTTGGTGTACGCATGATTTATTTACGCATATATAAGACAAACAAAAATTGACAAAATTCATCGGTTACGTCTCATGAAAATCGTAAATTTTTATGTACAGATAATTTATTAACATTCGCTAAAGACAAACCAAAATTGTCAAAAATTATGGGCTATAGCCCACAAAAGTCACAAAGTTTGATGTACAAAGTTTGATGTACAGAAGATAAATTTACTTTCATTTGACACATATTAAATTTGAAAAATTTGTGGTACCCCATGAAAATCACAAAAGTTGATGTCCGCGTATTAAATTTACTTTTCTTCAAAGGAAATTAAAATTGACAAAATTTGAGGGTTATAGCTCATGAAAATCATAAATTTTGAAGTACACATAACAAATTTATATTCGCCTGAAACAAAAAATTGAAAAAATTGTGTTATAGCTCACGAAAATTGTGTATTTTGATGTTCGCATAAGACAAACTAAAATTGACAAACTTCATGGGTTATAACTAAATCATCAATTTTTATGCACACATAGTTTATTTATTTTCGATCAAAATGAACCAAAATTGAAACAAATCAAAATTGATGTATATAAAATAATTTCACTTTCATTTGAAACAAATTAAAATTGAAAAATTCATGGGTTGTAGCCCATGAAAATATCAAAATTTGATATACACAATAAATTTACTTTTCTTTGAACCAAACCAAAATTGAGAAAATTCGTGGGTAACTCATGAAAATCACAGATTTTTATGTAATTATAATTTATTTGTATTTATTCAAAATGAGCCAAAATTGTCAAATATCATTGTAGCCCATGAAAATCACACATTCTGCACAATAAATTTATTTTTGTCTTATTAAAATCGTGAGTTATAGGTGACAAGAGTTGCGAATTTTAATATGCACATAATTTATTTAGATTCGTTTGGAACAAATCAAGATTGACAAAATTTGTGAGTTTTACCAAATGAAAATCATGAATTTTAATGTACACATCATTTATTTAGATCGTTCAAAATGAAGAAAAAATTTCAACAATCATGAGTTATAACTCATGAAAATGGCATATCTTGATGTGCACATAGTAAATTTACTTTTGTTCAAAACAAGCTAAAATTAACAAATTTCATGGATTATAACTCATTATATTCGTAAATTCTTATGTAGAAATAACTTATTTACATTCGTTCAAAATAAACCAAAATTCTCAAATTGTGGGCTAATAACAAATTTTGAAGTATACATATATTTGTTTGCAACAAATGGAAATAGATAAAAATCATAGGTTATAGCTTACGAAAATCTTGAATTTTGATGTACACATAATGTAGTTACACTCGTTGCAAATGAACCAAAATTGACAAAATTCATGTATTATAACTAATAAAAATCGTAAATTTTGATATATGCAAAATTTAATTATATTTGTTCAAACAAACAAAAATTTTAAAAAATCGTGGATTATAGCCCATGAAAATCACAAACTTTGAAGTATACATGATAAATTTATATTTGTTTGAAACGAATGAAAACTAATAAAAATCATGGGTCATTGTTCATAAATCGTAAATTTTGATGTGCTCATTAATTATCTATATTCGTTCATGACGAACTATCATTGACAAAATTCATGGCTTATAACTCATGAAAAATCGTGAATTTTTGTGTACACATTATTTTTTTATATTCATTCAAAATAAACTAAATTTGTCAAAAATTATGGAATATATAGCCCATAAATCGCAAATTTTAACATGCACAACATAATACTTTTATTCGAAACAGTTCAAAATTGAATTGTTCATGGGTTATACCTCATGAAAATCGCAAATTTGATGTACACGCAATAAATTTACTTTACTTTGAAACAAATAATATTGACAAATTTGTTTATTATAGCTCATGCTAATGAAATCGTAAATTTTTATGTACACAACTTATTTGAATTTGTTCAAAATGAAAAAATTCGTTAAAAACCATGGGTTATATAGCCCATAATAATCGTAAAAGTTGAAGTACACATTATACATTTGTATTCTCCTAAAAATAAATAAAAATTAATAAAATTATTGGTTATATAGCTCACAAAAATCATGAATTTTGACTTTACTCATAATTTATTTGCATTTGTTTGCAACCAACCGAAATTAAAAAAAAATAAGTTATAGTTTGTGAAAACCGCAAATTTTGAAGTACACATAATTTATTTTCATTCATTCAAAAGAAAAAAATTCTAAAAAAATCGTGGGTTCTCATGGAAATCGCAAATTTCAGTGTGCACGTAATAAATTTACTTTTGCACACATCAAACCAAAGTTGACAAGATCTGTGTGTTATCTTATGTACATTGTGAACTTTTTTGTACACATAATTTATTTGCATTCATTCAAATTGAAACAAAATTTTGAAAAATCGTGAGTTATAGTCCATAAAAATCACAAATTTTGAAGTATACATAATAAATTTATATCCATTTGAAACGAATAAAAATTGTTGGTTATAGCTTCCGGAAACTGTGAATTTTGTTGTATACATAATTTAGTTACATTCATTTGAAACAATTCAAAATTGACAAAATTCATAAGTTATAGCTTATGAAATCACAAACTTTTATGTAGACATCATTTATTTATATTCGTTCAAAATAAATCTTAAAAAATCATGGATTATATCACACGAGAATTTTTTTTAAAGTATATGTGGTAAATTTATTTTTTTTAATGAATGAAAATTGATAAAAATTGTTGGCTATAGCTCATGAAAAATCATGAATTTTTATATATACATATTTATTTGCATTCGTTCGAAACGAACCGAAATTTTCAAAAATTTTGGGTCATAGCTTATAAAAATGGCAAAATTTTATGTACACAAAATAAATTTACTTTCATTTAAAATAAATCAAAATTGTGAGTTATAGTCCATGCAAATCACAAAATTTAATGTACACATAAGAAATTTACTTTTCTTTGAAACAAACTAAAATTTTACCAAAAGTTGTGGGGGTTATAGCTCATGAAAATCACAAATTTTTATGTACACATAATTTATTTGCATTTATTCAAAACGAACAAAAATTGTCGGAAAACATGGGTTTCCCCCCATAAAATTCACAAAATTTGAAGTACATATAATAAATTTATATTCGGTTGAAACAAATGAAAATTAAAAAAGTCTTGGACTATAGGTCATGAATATCGTGAATTTTGATATACACAATTTATTTACGTTTGTTCGAAACAATTTAAAATTAACAAAATTCATGATTTATATCTCATGAAAATCGTGTATTTTAATGTACACAATGAACCAGGGTTATAGTCGGGAGCTTAATGTTTACACCTTATGAATTGGTGCCAGATTTGCATCATCATAAATGCTAAAGGCCAGATCTTGAGCTTTTATGGGCTTGTAGTTTAAGCTCTTTAAACAAGGCAATCAACCACCAAATTTTCGGAGCAGGAAGGAGTCCGGACAAAAAGTTGATCTTAGTTTCTTCATAGTCAAATCATATTTGAAGCACTCAATTGCTAAAGAGCCAGCTGGAATCACATTCCAAATCTGGACATGCATGCTATAAAGTTGAATATCTTTATGGAAGAAGCAGTCACTTGGAAGATGAGATTGATATTCATCAGACGGTGACCATGATTCCAACCCCTCCTCATATGAAATAAAGGCCTACCCATTAGGTTTACCAAATTGAGTATTTAAAGCCTCAAGCTTATTTGAGAGTAACAATATTATGTTACTGTTTGATTGGGGTTACACCTAATTACATTGACTATTTCTCTACAGGTGTTGAATCCCACTACTTTACCGTGGAAGCAGCAACTACTCCAAGTCGCACATAACCAAGTGGAATGTCTGTCATGATCATTTTATCAGTTATTGGATTTTGAAGAACTTGAAGATTGAGATAAAGTCGTAATTTTTGTCTCTCTCATTTGATTAATGGGTAGTTGCTTGTATCACATTACTGAAGTTTGGAGTAACATGAGACAGATATAACACGGTTTCTAATGCGATGAGCTCCACGTGATTAGCTCGAATGCACTCACTTCTAACCAAACACCACCTTTGACATGGGTAGAGAGGCCTATTTATATAGGGTTAATTGCAGATAGACCCCCGTATCATCACCCGATTGTGGATAGACCTCATGTAGTTCAATAGTTGACCCCGTGAGTGAAATTTTTTTTGACTTCTTTGTCTTCAAAGAAAGAGACCCCCCACCCCCACCCCTTCTTTTTTGGGCTGACAAATAGACCTCCTTGCTCCTGAGGGTAAAAGAGTGAAAATAATTCACTCAGGGGGTCTATCCGCAAATGGGTGATAGTATGGGGATCTATCTGCAACAATAGAAATACATGGGGTCTATCCACAATCAACCCATTTATATATGTGAATGACAAGCAATTACTTAGAAAGAAGATGCTTACACACGAAGAACCCTGATCAACAAACTCTGACGATGTTGTAGTGCTCGAGTGAAAAACTAAATGCACTGTTATATTGAAGATCTTTTGTCCCCTATGAATTATTGGTTGGCCTAATCACAGGTAAGAAAAATTGCAGTTTCAGCCTAAGCCGTCCCCATGTGAAGCTCTGATGTGCTTGGATTACTGTCAGCTGGCCAGACCATTGCCTAACCTCCTACAGTTGAATGAGTTGTCCTCATCGGCTTCTCAACAACGTGACAAGGAACACAGCCATCAAAGGTATGGGAGAAAAGGATGTGTCCTTTAGCATAAGGGACCCTTCAAGAGCCTCTCAGAGTTTAGTGAGTTGAATTTTGCCTTTAACTCTACCTTTAAAATCTTTATCACGTAACTGCATATTAATTGACATCTTAAAAGTTTGCATAATCTTTCCTTGTGACTTTTTGACGATATAGGCAACAAATTTAGGAAGTGATGTAACCACCAAGAGAGTGTCAAATCTGCTGTTTCGATCAGTTTATATGCGCTGGCTCAATTGCAGCCATCTGATCGCTTTTTTGTTTCTAGATATAATTGTAAGAAAGCTTATATCGCAGATAAACCCCTCGTACTTTCACATTGTCACACTTGTCACTCCTTAAGTTTGATATTGGCAAATAGACCCCCTAAAACTGAACTTAACTCCATAATCGCCCTCCGCGCCTTCTCTACACTGGATGGCGCGCTATTTCTGGCGAGGTATATATGTGGCAGAGATGGATTGGATGGTGAGGACAGGAGGAGCAGAATATGACAGTACAGGGATCTATCTACCACAAATCTCTAATAAATATTAGTTTTATGGACTATCTACCACAAATCTCTAATAAAGTTTAATCTTATGGGGTCTATCTGATAATATCAAATTAGTACCAAGTGGCACAACATGATAACATGAATGGTCTATGTGCAATTAACCCTTGTTAGGATGCAGTTTTGGCAATCTTTTTCTGTTTGTTGAATGGCGACGAATTATGATTGATTGGTTTATATAAGCTATGTGGATGAACGGGAGCGACGTCCATGCTTCTACCGTCATATAACAAGTGGATTTGGACTTTTATAAAAGCACTTCGATTCCAGGACGGAGAGGTAACAGAATTAGCATGAGGTTTCTTCATTATTCTTGATGATGTCAATGCCGATATGTAAGCTTGCCAATGAGGCATGTAGTCTGAATGCTCAAAACTAAAATTGGATACTTTTGGGTTGTCAATGCCGATATGTAAGAGCATGCTTGGTTCAGCAGCATTTACTTGCAAATGCGATTCTTCAAATTTTCGACCTGTAATATATATTTTTTCCGATTTTTGTCAACTATATATATGAAATCTTTTGTTCAGGAATTAGCAAAGTGAAGCAGGTTTGTTGTTTCTGTCGCATTAACATTTTGATTGATTCATTTGATTTCATTATAGACCTCGCTTATATGGGGTAGATCATGTGACACAGCTGAGAGACCAATTTGTATCAGTTATCCAATTTGTTTTGTTGATGAGCTCGTTTGAAGTACAACACATGGGAATGATTTCTACTAGCCCCAAAATGGTATGACATCGAAGTTCATTGTTGGCTAGCAAAAATGGCCCGGCCTATTGTTATTGATTGTAGGGATTTTATTCAGTTGCCCATGTGGACTATATTGCATCGACAAACACTAATTATTAGAGGTATATAATACCCCATGCTTGAATTTATGGAGTTAAGACCAATTTCGTGTCATGTTTATCTTGGTTAAAACCATGGAAAAGTATTTTCTAGCGTTCAAGCTTTTTGTGTAAGCTCATAGACTCAATCTGATTATGGTGTTGAGATTCAGTGCGACCCATGCAATTAGTAGGAATATTAATATTAATTACATAATATGTTCTTGTGTAGGAAGTGTTTTCCTTTTATAGTTCAAGAAAAATTGTTATCTAGGGCCCAAAATATAAAGACTCGTATGACCAGCCCCTTGCTCTTTGGGCTCACGCACAAAAGCCCCAAAAACATATTTTTTTATGTGAAAAATCACATTTTAGTAACAATTTTTCCCTTAATTTATGACATGATAGTTCTTTCTCTCACACGCTTCTTTAATTTGGGGTCTAAACTTCTTTGTTACTAGAAGCTTTTTTATTTTTATTTTTATTTTAGGAATACTAGAAGCTTTTTTGTGTCTTTATTTCTCATCATTCCAAAAGGGTGACAATATCTTCGACACATGGGATGTTCTTCCGTGTAGAAGAGCCACATGCAAACAGACAGATTAAGGAACGATGCGAGTATTTGTGTCTGCTAATTATTGATGGAGCCATATAATTAGAAAATGGGCAAGTGTGACGTCACCAAAAGAAAATCTCAGTGCGTAACAACAGGACAAAACTCCGGAAAAACCCACCCCATGTCACCTCATTGAGGCGGGTCCTACATTCTCTTTTTCCAATTTCGATGGAATTTTGATAAACCATGCAGAAATCAGTCCATCGAATGTAAGAACACACAAGACGCTATGTTAGATGCGGTGACAAAAAAAAAAAAAATTCCCAAAAACAATTGATATGTTAGAATAATAGAATTTGCTAGTAAGGTAGAGCGAAATATGTGTTCTACCAAAGTCTTGAATTTGTGAAGCTTCTAACTGCCAATCATTATCCGGATCAAAACGACATACTCACATGCAGAATGTTCTGATATGATTTGTATTCATTTTAAAATCAATACCTGAAGCACACGTCAAATCCTATTCTCTATATATGGTAAAATGCACGTAACCCCTCTCATCTATACCGTTAGTTGAACAAAACATTTTCAACCCGTTTATTAGCTTTTAAAACGTGTTTGGTTTCATCGGGGGTAAGGGAAGTTGGGGGAAAATAGGAGAGAGAAAAGAAAAGAAGTTAAGGAAATTATGTTCCCCTCAATTACACCCCAATTTGTGAGGGGATAATTTTTGTTCTGTTGGGGGTGAACTAAGGTGAACGAGAGGGAACTCTTACTCTCATGAAAGCTATCCGAACGTGGTGAATATGCCTCCTACCTTCCCTTCTCCCGTGTTCAATCCAAAATGATCCTGATCAGTCCTCTTCAATCCACAAGAAGGAGACGTGCAATTTGTAATTTATCTTTCTAAAAATGACATTTTAAAGATGCAAGTGCTAGTAAATGACTTGAGAGGAGCACCTTAAGATAAGAGTAAGGGGGGTTTAATTATGTACAAACTATTCTCTTATCTGGATGGATTTTTCTAGGAAGCATTAATATATATGATTTCTTCTCTCTCTCTCTCTCTCTCCTTCCTTTCCCCGCGGATTAACTGAACTGTGTTCTGATGAGTTCATCAAATCCATGTCCTTATTATAGCGGAAATAGAGGAGAAACCGGTGAAAGGTTGGGAGTTGCCAATCTGTTCATGGTGGGGACCAGCCCACCACGTCAGCATCCAGCGGAGGCCAGACCTCCCTCTCGAATAAAAAAGGTGACCACAAATTCATATATATGTGCACTAATTAATAATACATACGATAAAAACCAAAATCTATTCATCTCTCTCTCTCTCTATATATATATACATATATTTATTTATATATATATTAGTTGACTTAGCTCTCTCTAATTCCTATTAATCCTTCATCTCTTCTCTACAGACAGAAAGAATATGAGTAATTTGGGCATGATGGAGGCCAGACTGCCTCCTGGCTTCCGATTTCATCCGAGGGATGATGAGCTTGTTTGTGACTACCTCGTCCCCGCCGATGGCACGTGCGAGTTTCCGATGATGGTCGACGTGGACCTCAACAAGTGTGAGCCATGGGATCTCCCCGGTGAGATAAACTAGACTATGATATACCTCTCATGAATACACACAATAGATGCATCTTGTATGTTGTTATTCTTATTTAATTTCAGGGGTGGTAAACGATCGAATTGAAGCGAATACTAAGGTGTTTGTATTTGTATTTGTTTAAAATTATCGAATTCGAATGTAGACTCTAATATTCATATATCTAGTTTTTCTCGAATTCGAATTCGAATTCGAACTCGAACTCGAATACTTGGTATTATTTGATAAATATTCATGAATATTTATCAATACTTATCGAATATCAAAGTATATTTATTCCGCTAAAAATTTTAATTTTCAAATAATATTAAAATTCGTAAATAAAAATTATTCCTTTATAATATATGATAGATTATTTAAGTCTTAAAATCAGTATATAAAACTTAAGTAGAAATGATAAGTGAGTTAAAAATATGACATTATATGTGCAACAATGCAAATAATAAGCTGTGACCAGATTTTAAACGAAAATTTAATAGACAAACGAATCAAATATACATCTGGTTAAATTCTATTCGTTAGTAAACTTGAATACTAAAAAATATTTGTTTAGTGGTAAATGAACTACCGAATCGAATATTACTGAATAGTTATTCGAACAATTATCGAATTATTTGGTTCATTTGAGTAATTAGTACTGGCAGATCTACACAGTGTCTAGTTGTGCCACATTACACTGCTGGATCTGCATGCCACTGGGTTTAATTTTGTGTAGCGTGTTCTGCGATATCGATTGGACAGCGGTGTCGTCGTGTGACACCACCGGAACCAAATCCTTAATCCGCCACTGATCGTGAAGACACCATGTCTAGAAAATTTACTGATCGTGAAGACACCATATTATTTATTGATTAAATAATATGGATTTAATCATCATGCTATAATAATTACATTTTGTTTTGTTGCATGCTCTTTATCTAATAAGGACCATGTTATTGATATATTTTTCTCAGTTTGGTTAATTATTAATGTTTTATATGGGTTTATAACGGGAAAGGTTAAAAAATTGTTATGATCATTGGTAGTAGTATCGTTTGCTAGTGCACTTCAGAATTAGAGGACTGGCTTTTCAAGCTTTCTTAATTAGAAAGGAATAATTCCAAATTAATTATGAGGTTGGCAGAGAGTGAAAGGTTAATTAATTCCACAAAAAATTGTTGTTTCCTTTTTCTTCAATGGAACAAAAAATGAGGTTATGCGTATTCAGCCTTCTCTTTCTATAACAGAAAATATACTGGTGCAAAAAGTTTCTTCCTTTTTTATTTTGTCTATGCTTCCTTTATAAGTCTTATCTTGATTTTTCCCATTTCTATCACTCCCAACCAACAAATAATCATAATGTATACTATTTATCCCTCAGAAAATGAAGTAAGCCTTTATTATTTTTATTTTTTTTGAAAGATAAAATAAAATTAACATTATTTTCTGGGAAATGCAAGAAAATATTCTTATCTCAGCAGGTATCTATTTTCAAATTAAAAGAACCTGTAAAAATCTTTGAAGCCTCATTAATAACTATATAACGCGTGCACACATATACGTGTATATTTACACGGAATAACTTTTATTTTTGTTATTGTAAAAAAAAATTAAGAACAATTGTTAATTGTGTGCGAATTATACGTACTTTCAAAAATACTTATAAATTAACACAAAAAAGGTTTTATATCGGTGAAGACCACTACCAATTTTAAAATAAGAAACTTCGGTAAATGGATGATTGATTGAAGTATATATATCAATGACGAAGTTGATAGAATCAAATGGATTATTATTAGTTAGCTTGGGGACCAATATGGACTTGTACAGATGCACCATTTATTGACACACCAAAGTGTAAGGGTTAATTTCTCTGTATATCAATATCAATGGTGGGTTAGTTAGACACTGACGTTAACAAATTCGTCACAAAAAAAAAAAAAAGTTTATCTCACCAACGCTTTATCTATACATATATAGATGGAACCTTTCCTTAATTTAGTCGTCAATATCTCTACGTAGCTACCACTATTATTATTTTATCTTTTTTTTTTTTGGGAATTCATACAACATCATGGTGATAGTCACCTGCATTAACAACCTACTGCCACTGATTTGGATCCTTCACACCGTCACTTTTACAGACGGATCGCTGTCTAATCGTCCAATGATATTTTGATGATTATGACCATTCTTAATAATTTAATATGGTATTAGATCAATCCAGATTCAAATCTCACAAGCTGCACATTTAGAAAAGACTTAGAAAAAAGATATTGTTTCGTGGGTCTAAATTTCATTAATCTATAAAAGTTACGCCTAACCTGTAAAGAAACATACTGGAATCTCGTGAGTGCTTTATTAATTTTAATTTTTAATCAAAACAATTCATATTTATTCATTAAATTCTAAAAGGTCATGATTTAGGAGACTAGTGTCTTCATTGTAGAATCTAATGCCCTAATGCACAGAAGTTAATAATTATTACAAGATCCAAAGATTTTGTACATACAATTTGTTAAGATATAGATATTTTTATGGGGTATATATATTAGCTATATCTAAATTATTACACATGGTTTGTCCTTTAATCTATGTAGGCATCAAATTAATATTGCTTAATCAAATTTTGCATTAATTTTGTTGTTAGCAATTATTGATAATTTCCTTGTACCTGCAGATATTGCATGTATAGGAGGTAAAGAATGGTACTTCTTCAACCTCAGGGATCGAAAGTACGCGACTGGCCAACGAACAAATAGGGCGACGTTGTCAGGGTACTGGAAAGCTACGGGTAAAGATCGAAATATAGTTCGAAAGGGAACGCTGGTCGGGATGAGGAAAACCCTAGTCTTTTACCAAGGTAGAGCTCCGAAGGGGAAGAAGACAGATTGGGTCATGCATGAATTTCGCTCAGAAAGTAACGGTGAGCCCCCACCAAGATACTCTAGCAAGGTATGCCTCTACCATATATATATCCTGTTGAGCATATTTATACATGCATGACTTAATTTCATAGAATGTATTGTTTAATTTATGAACATACGTACGTTTTTATCTTAATTATATTATACACACATATAGTATCAGGCTTAATTAACATATTATTATATATGAGACGTGTAGATACACATGTGTAGCATGCATGTTTTCAATGACATTTTTCATGATTAATGTCAAAATTTTCAAGTATAGATCTTGTTAAAGGAAATTTAGCTTGATATAGGTGTAGATAATACTTTTGGACATCATCACGAAGCCCTTAAGTTAGAGTACCCTAGCAATACTAATACAACACTTGAATCCATACGTAGAATATCCTATTATTACTGTACTCTATATATATATATCTTAGCTATTCTAGACATAGGAAGGGGGAAATTAAAAACAATAAATAAAGGGGAAAAGAGAGGAGAAGAAACCACATTTAAGAGTTTTCGAGTCACTAGAGAGTCTGATTCCAAGAACAATATCAGCTACAATAGTAACAATTTATTTCCTTAAAAAAAAAAAATTTTTGAGTGAAATTTATTTGTTTAAGTTGCTTATATATATTTTCTGGATTTTGTGGTAACCTCTTTAATGGGATAATTCTTCAAAGTACAATTATCAAGAACAATTATAGACTAAATATTATTCAAACTTGCAAGTTTGGATTGACTAATTATTTCAAACTTTTTGAAATAATTAAGTATGTTTTTTAAGTACGATGGTTTGGGGATAGATGTCAAATTATAGTGCTTTTTCTAAGTTCCTATACCGCGTATCTTATTATTGCTAGAAAATTTTATATGCTCTCGCATCAGGACAGAGTATGTATTTTAAATTTCCTTGAACATACAATTATTAATTTTAAGTGTCTGATTCTTTCTTTATCTTATAAAAATTTTCATTAAAAATATTAGGCTGTTTGCATTTGAGGGATTTTTAGCATGTTCAGGGTAGAGGGTGAAAGTCACCCACCTTGCTATTTTTAAGCTTTGCATGAATCAATATTGTTTGTGAGAGGATAAGCTCCAGTTAGATCTTTTTCAATTGCCTTGTTAATTGTTAATCTCTGTAGGTCGTCATCAAAATACCTACTCGCCGGCTAATCACGTGTATTATATTTCTAATCATTCTACATCCAATTAATAATTATATAAATTAAGAGAAAATTCTCTAGTTACTCAGCCGACTCATTACCTTGAAACCTTCAAAACCTCAAAAACACATAATTATGTCATCTTTAGAATTTTTCTGTTAAAAAAAATGTCACTTTTAGATTTTTTTTTTTTTTTTTGATAATTAAGATGTCATCTTAAGAATAGATAGCAACATATAATAAGATTTAAGAAGTCCAATTAGCTTGGCACGGTATGCAACTTGCACTGAGGTGAATCTAGTGCCAAACTCTAGCTAACATGGTGGGGGGTAATTGGAATACAAATTGGCTCACTTTTCTAAAGTCATACTCAAAGTTTTGAATGTTAATCAGGTCAGCAGGCCAACCTGCTTTGCTCATAATTAAAAATAGAGGCTTATGGCTTTTGATTAATTAGTCAAAATAGATTAAGGCTCTGTTTGGTAAAACTAGCTGAAAGCTGCAAGAGTATAGCTGAAAGCTGTTAAGCTAGCTGAAAGCTGTGAAATTATAGCTGAAAGCTGATAGCTATGTAGCTAGCTGATTGACTAGAGCTGTTTGGTAAAAGTAGCTGTACAACTAGCTTAAATTTGTTAAATGACTAAAAAAACATGTAATATTATTGATATAAAATTAGAATTATTAGGGGCAAAAACGGAAGAAAAAAATTGGCAGCTCCTTCCCAAAGACAAACGCTACTCGAGGTAGCTTTCCAAAAGCTACTTGCAAAAAACACAATCTCCAAAATAATCTTCTCCTATTTTTTGTCACCAAACAGCTTTACTAGCTTATTAACCAAGTCAATAAGACACAATCTCTTAGATAAGACACAATCCCTTGTTGCCAAACAGTGCCTAACTAGGCACTATCTAATTCTAATCTCGCCACCTTTGCTCCTTGTCTGCCTAACCGTTCATTATTTTAACAAACTTTTCTAATTATTTTGAGTGAAAACTCCAACAATGCAACCTAATATCTTGTAATGAGAAATTGTTCATAGGGCCATAAAAACTGGCAACTAGTATGAGAGAGAGAGAGAAAAAAAAAACAGTTGGTGATCAACTTCTTCATGTCTATATACTCAAAATCTGAAATCTACAACTTTGACTATATCTTTCACAAAGCATGGATATTTTTGCCATTAGTTTTCTCTTTATTATATTGAATAATCATATAACCCATATGTTTATTTTGTTCAATTTGAATAAGGACCCAATTAGTTTTCATATATAAATTTTCTAAGTTTCTAACTCTTTATTACCATTTGCAAACTCTTATTTTCTTTCTTGTTTTTCCCCCTCCAATTAAAACAGGAGGATTGGGTCCTATGCAGAGTGTTCTACAAGAGCAGAGCAGTACTAGGAGTGACTCCATCCAGGCCACCAACATGCACACAAACCTCTCACGTGGAAGACACGTGCTCCTCCTCTCTCCCTTCGCTCACTGAATCCTTCATCCCCTTCAACCAAGCTTTCACCCCAAATCCAACCACAAACATACAAACCAACAACAGCCTAAGCACTTCATTTCAGCAAGTGCCCTGCTTCTCCAGTTACCCTCAAGTTATAACTACAACCAAACCTCAAAAATACACCGAGGACTTAGGCTCTTCTTGCTTTAATCAACTACTATCAATGCCTTCATGTGATAAAGAGGTGTTGAAATGTGTTATTGATCATTTCAGTAAGTTTGAAGGAGACCATCATGAAGATAAGAATATGACAAGCTCAGAGAGCTACTTGACTGAAAGTGCTCTGTCTTCTTCAATGTGGTATCCTTTTCAGAGTTAGATCCTTTGAGCTAGTTTAGTTCTTGTATGTACGCGCACGCGTATGTGTGTGCGCGTATAGGTATATATATACATATTACGTAAGTGTGATGATAAATGGTTTTTGTGAGAGTGGAGTCATGGAGTAGGAAAGAATAGGAAGAAAAATTGAAGAAAAGAAAGGATTCTCCATATTGTGTTGTAATGTATTTGGATTGTTATTTAAGGATTGCAAGCAATATATAAACGCCGTTTCATAGTCCTTGAAAACTAATTAGTTGTAGTAAATCAACTTGATCTTTATGTAATATCAAGTTATGCTAGAATTGGTGGAATCTTGTGATGAAAGTTTCTTTCTCAATATTGCTTCTTACGTTGCTCAATAAATTTAATCAAAGGCTCATAATTGCTTCAAATAAAAGAGATTTACTTTATTATATGATAAAATGTATTAGAAAAAAAATCATATATGATAATTTTTATTCCTATAGAAAAAAAATTATGGACTTTACCCTATCTTTCCGAAGAAAAACTCGCCTGCCTAAATATTTAAAGGATTTATTTTTCAACTTATTTCTTAGTCACACCTTCTAAACTGTTGAGTATTCATGTGCGAGTATAGTCCCACATTGACTGGATTAGAGAGAGTTATGATTTTAAAATAAAAGTTAGGTCAATACCAAGCAGCTATAATTTTTGGGTTAAAATTGGTTTTAAGTACCTATTTAAGGCTCTCTAGCTCTGGGTGGGCCAGGCTTACTCCTGATCACAAACTCCCTTATATTATAATGTTTTTCTGTTAGTACATACAAATTAACAACTAGATATGTGTAGATATCCTAGACATTCTTAATTCTTTAACAATGTCACCTCTAATAGAGGTCATAAAATTTTGTTTCTATGTGATCGTGTGAGCTCGCAAGAGCAAAAGGCCAACACAATTAGGTTGATGCGGTAAGCTAAAGTTGTCATCAAAATCCTACTTGCCTCTTAATAATTAGTTAACTAAGATTCTTGAAAGCAACATAGTACCAACCTCCAAGGGTTTTGTCTAACTCTTTCATCAGTTAATAATGTAATACCTATGCACTAATAGTAATTAATGCCTAAGCAAATCTACCATCTCAACTACTTATTGAAGATATGATATCAACATGGTTTTTAATGGCTAATGTGCTAGAGAAGATTGTGGTTTGGAAAAATGCTCATCAACTATAACCCATGGCATTTAGGCATTAAAAACTATGAGGGTTGATAATGAGAAATCTCATACTTTATTAGCAACCACTGAACAAATAACCAAGATATAAGGAGATAATTTCCAGTAAATTAATTAGGCATATTTATGTTGGATAGTGAATTCCTAATCTATTTTGGTAACATGAGGTTATTAGGATTCCTAATCTATTTTGGTAACATGAGGTTATTAGGATTCCTAATCTATTTTGGTAATAAGTTATTAGGATTCCTAATTTGATTTGGTTTTTGGTTTAGAATTCCTAGTATGTTTATGATTTTAGAATTTCTATATATATGGAACAATTGGAAGAGAAGGAGAAGAAAAATTGGGGATATTTGGAGCACAGAAAAGATGTATTTTCTGAGCTATTTGTTTAGGGTTTTGTTTGGAGAGATTAAGAGCTTGTTGGTGAGATTAGTTTGTTCCTTCGAGTGATTTGTAATCTCAGTTTATACTCTTTCTCTATTAGTGAAAACTGCATCCCCTTCTTACCCCGTGGACGTAGGCAACTTGCCGAACCACGTAAATCTCTTGTGTTAATTGGTGATTATGCTTGTTTATTTGGTTGTGATCTCTCTTGATTGGATTGTGTAATTCGACCGCTTCCGCGCCGCGCACAACAATTGGTATCAGAGCTCGGGCTACGCTTAGGCTATTTGGAGGAGTAAATCAATTTGAAAGTTCGACTAGGGCTTCGTTTGGTGATAAATGTATGATCTTTTTTGTAAAGACTCTATCTTTTTCAGTTTGGATCTATTCTTCGTTTGTTCCGTATTGGTTTGTTGGCGCTTGGGCTATTTGGAGGAGTAGATCGCTTTGAAGGCTCGTCGAGGGCTTCGTTTGGAGATAAAGGTGAGATTTTTCCTATTTGTGGATCTCATTGCCGTCGTGCGGGGTGAGATCGTTTGGAGACTCTTGTTAGGGTTTCAATTGGAGGTAAAATTCTCTCCTTTATCGGTTTGGATCTATTCTTCATTTGTTGGTGCTTTGAGATAGTTCGTCGAGATAGAAGGATTTGAGGCTGGGTTATTTGTTTATTGATACGGTGCATTGGATTATTGAGAAGTGCCATTGACCTGCATATTGAAGTCCTTTTGAGCACGTTGGTATGAGCAAGGAGACCGAGGTGGAGTTTGGCACTTCTATTTGATGATTGAGGGGTCTTCTATTTGGTGTTTATTCAGGCATTTTGGGGCCTTCCAATGAGGTATCATTGGAAGGTAAATTGGTATTTTGGTTTCCTATATTGGGGATTGTACTAGGCATTTATGGGTTGTAACCAAATCCCGTTCCTAGTAGTCAACAACAGTTGAAGAAGTGTATTGGGAGTAAGGTGAAGGTACTTCATTCTGGTTATAGAAGGAGGTACAAGAGGGACCTACTGTATTTGTGCCGAGCTCACGGCAATAGGAGATACTTCATTGGTGTGAAAACTTTGAGGCGACAAGGCGAGATGGCAGATTTGGGTAGTTGTTCCTTTCTGGAGGAGGATCGGCGTTTGATGTCGAGCATTGGCATTGGTGTGCAGGCTACGACATGTTTGGGCCATCTTATGCATAGGTTGCCGACTGCTGCATGTATAGATATTGGATCTGGTGGAGCTGCTTCAGATTTTGGTTGGCGTCGGATATTTGGTTGCCCAGTATTTGGTTACATCGAGGATGTGAGATTTGATCCGATTGCGCGTTTGGGATTCGGAGGCTCATTTGATTATTTGTTGGGAGCTTCTGATTTTGTTCTGAGTAGGAATGTCACTTTTGACTCTCAGCAGGTGGAGAGTGTTGATCAGGTCGTTTGGATATCGCAGCAGGTGGGGGGTGATGCTACTCCACGTTTACATCATTTGGGATTCCAGCTGAGGTGACACAGATTGGGGATCATTTGGATTTGGATGCAGATGATATTGGTGAAGAGTTGCAGACTTTTATATTTGTTTGAGGGTCTTTGGAGGTCATTTGGGTGAACTACGTGAAGGCTTAATTCCTTGGGCAAGAGGATACGTAGGCAGTCAGTTTTGATGCAG